TTTGGCGCGCCACCGTCTTTTGGATTCTGCAGGGATTGGATCTCTTTCTCGATCTCCTGCGCCTGCTTCTGCTTGTCCTCCTCTTCCTCCTCGTTCTCGGCGGCGCTCAGCTCTTGTGCGTTTGCCAGATTGTCGACGGCGATAGCCAAGAACACGTTCAGCAGCGTGTAGTTGCCGAACAGCACCAGCACGATGAAGTAGAGCGAGTAGATCATGCCCTTCTTGTGACCACCTTGCGATTCTATACCCTGGTACATCACTTCGTTCCAATCTTCTCCGGTCAGGATCTAGCCAATCATATATATATTTGATTAATAACAATGACATTTTATTTAATTAATGTGGACACTTACTGTGGTCTGATTAATTATGCAGAATGTGATAAATGTGTGATGAAATCGAAACGAAATTATTTGCAAAGGAAAAAAATTGCTTGAAATTAATCGAGAAATTAATCTTGAGTTGAGTTATTTTTTTTTTGAAATATTTTGTATTCGTGTCGAGCAAGTATATTGTAGCTCGAAGGAAAGACCATGCTTCGTGTTCTCTTTCCTTTTAATTAATTATGTAAGTTTTTTTTTTTATTAGAAGCAATATTTTTCTTTTTTGAAAAACTAACGTTTCTTGAAATTTTATCATCCTCTTTCGCGTTTATCCTCATTAAGATGAAATAAATTGGATTATTTCCAGATATCTAGGAAATTTATATGAGAAAATTAATATTTTTAATTTTACTTATAAAAGGTGGAGAGAAATTTTAAATATTGAAATACACGAGATAGGAAATGTTAGACAGAATATTTCAAGTAAGAAGAATAATTTTCTATTGAAAAACTTGTGATTTATCTTCTGCATTTAGAAAAAGTTAGTTTTCTGTCAAATGAATTTTTAAGATATTCATAAAGTATTATAAATAATATTATAATAATTCTTTAATTTATTTCTACATTTTTTTCACATAAAATCATTCTTATTGAAACAGAGAATTATAAAATGAACAAATATGAAGATTCAAAACATTGCTTGTAGTATCTTAACATTTTTTTCACAAAAATCAGATTTTTATATGTTTGAATATCACACATTCTTATAGAAGATAAATTTTGGTTCATTATTAATTTCAACTATTTGATAGATATTTTATATTATACTAATTGTTAAAATTTTAATTAAAAATTAAGAAAAACATTTTCAACTAAAATTTATTTAAAAAAAAGTTGCATATAGTGTCATTGTGTAAATTTCAATATTTACAAATTTCTGTACACATGCAAGGTGCCATTACGTATTATACCTTGATCCGCAAATTATTTTTAAAAACAAATTTATCTTCGTTCGTCTATTATCAAAATGAATTCGAGCAATAAAATTATCTTTCTTCACAACTCTGGCCAATATCCATCCCCCTCTAATCTTCCAATTTCAATCACACAAATGCAAATATATAACACACTCCTAACCATAAAATTACAAAGGATTCACACAATAAAATGTTCTTATAATACACTTTTTCCATTTTTTATTTCCATTATCTCTCCTCAAAATCAATCTCTTGCAACGATGTTTCACGAATATTCTTATTTATCCCACTCTGAGCAAGCAAAAGATTAATCTTGGATTCTACTTACTTGGAAGACAGTGAGCAGCGCGATGGGAAAGGTGTTGAAGTTGGTGGGCGGCGTGCCTGAATCGAAGTTGAATTGGCCGCCGAACAGCTGCATACCGAGCAGCGCGAATATGAGAATGAAGAGGAAGAGCAGGAAGAGCAGGGAGATGATGCTACGCATCGAGCTGAGCAGCGATATTACGAGGTTTCTCAGGCTCTTCCAGTATTTGGTGACCTTAAAAATTCGCAGGAGTCTAAGGGCACGTAGGACGGAGAGGCCGAAAGAGCCGGACTTCACCTCGGACCAGATCACTTCGAAGATCGATCCCGAGATGACCACGCAGTCGAAACGATTGAAGCTCGAGTCGAAGTATGTGCGAGGGCCGAGCGCGTACACCTTGATGAACATCTCCAACATGAACAGAGCCAGGAACACGAACTCTGCGAAGTCTGTCGGAGATAAGTATAATTTTGATAATAGAGTTAATAAAATTAATTGCTTCAAGCAATTTCCTTTTTTCGAGAATTTAATTCGATCCATTTTTGAAGAACAAATTTAATATGAATGGTATAAGAAATGAAGAAAATATGATGAGAAATTAAAAATTAATAGATTAATTTGGATATTACTATTTCCTTCAAATTCCAAATTGAACTATATGTTGTAAATGTTCAATTTATATATACGAAATTGATTCAACAATGGATGGAATAATCAAATTGAAGAAAATGAATCTAACAAATTGATAATATTTCAAGTATTAATATTTATCAAGGCAAAGTGATTTCCCTATATTTTTCTAGATACGAAATTTTAATTACTTATAACCGTGTTTACAATATTTTTTATTCGATCATTTAACGGTTTATTCTTAAAGATATACTCACAGAGGAAATCGGTCAGCCATTGGGGCTGACCGTAATGCTCCACGGCCACGCAGACGGTGTTGAAGAACACGAGAACGATGACGAACCAGTAGAATTTTTGCGATTTCACGGATTTTCGTATCCAGTACCTGAATCTTTTCTCGGCCAGCCAGAACTGCTTGCAAGGTCCCTTTTCTTTCGTCGAGGAGGATCTTGAAAACCCTAGAAAACCAGCAAATCCATCGTTTCAGCCATTATTTCAGACACGATATTTTCGATACAAGTCGATCGATTCTCTTTGCAATTTTTTTCCTCTCCTTTCTCTCTCTCTCTCTCTCTCTCTCTCTAAAGTTATTTCTCCAATGTAATTTATCCGCGTAATCGTGTTATAGGTCGTTACGCGCAAACTATTTCTCGATAATATCGATAATGCGATACGGCAAATTATTTTTCCGGAAGGAACGTTGCATTGGAGAAAGTTTACCGATACGATCCCATTGTACACCACGATACACCGAATCGAAAAACATTCTTCCTCCATTTGCTCTCTTTATTGCAACGATTTTGAGAAAACAGGATACGATTTTGCTTTCTAGATCTTTCTCTCGTTCGTTTATTTGTTTATTTATTTATTTATTTTTTTTCAATTTTTCGATCGAGAAAGTTAATTAACATTACATATATAATGTAAGGACAGAGACACATCTATTCTATGAACGTATACTCTAACAAGCGTGTTTCTATCTAGATCTATCTATCTACGAATTTAATCAATATTTCCTTCTATGAGGCCATCTATTTTTGTATAAACACATTTCTCGTTGTACACTACTAAAAAACATTAATTGGTATTCCTCCACTGTTGGACGTACCTAGACCACGTGGATACATACATTTTCACCCGAGACATTCGCGAGAAATTCGTGTGTAATGGATTTGGTAAATTTTGTATCAATAAGAAAAAAATTTCGAAGGATATCATATTTGATATTTGTTTTATTTTTGTAACGTTTAATAAACATTTATCTAATGGTAGAATTAAAATAATTGTGTGCAAATACTCTTTGTAATCATTATATCATTTCATTTCAATTATTTCAATTATTTAAGAAGAAGCCAGAGAAAAATTATGTTTTAACTCAATAATTATTATAATAATCTACCCTATTTTTCCTTGAAAATATAATAAATTTTTCTCTTACCCTCAAAATTTACATCTCTACTTGAAATTAAAACTAAATTAAAAATTTATTTTTCATTGAATTTTAAAGATTGTCGCGAATGCCCTCGGTTGATCAATAAATATACATAAATATATACACAATCACACCAGCCAACAGAAGCAATTCCTAGAAAAAAGAAGATAAAGTGAATTGGCGGTCGCGATTTTTACCGAAATTGTGTTAAGAATTTCGAAGAATCCGATTTGAGAGATCTGCGATGCACGATGTTCTCTCGTCACTAGATTACAATTCCTCTCTATCGTACACAATTTCCATCTTTATTACGTGTAGATGTACATATATGTATTTCAACTACATGATTATATTGAGTAATCCAAATTCGTAATCATATTAACACTTAGGATCCCATATAATGACTTTGACTCTCTTCAATATTTTATAATGACTCTATAGTGTTTCAACGTGTGAATATATCTTTCACCAATCTGATTCAAACATTTGGAAAAATTTCAAAATAAAAAAAATGGAAAATTCATCAACATTCCCTTTACTTTACAATATCAACTCATCATCTAATATTTAATTTCGAAATCCAAAATATAGAATCCTGAGTGACATCGAACATTTTATTATCCTGCGTGTAAATATATGCGTGTTGCGAATATTTAATATGCGTATGATATAATAAACAAAAATGACGAAATGACGTTGGAAAAGAAAAGAAGAAAAAAAAAAAAGGGCAACAAAAAGAAAACATATAACGAATAAGAATTTACGGATACAGCCTCGTTGCTCTTTGCATCGAATCGTGACACTGACTGGTTGTAGTTACCTTTCAGTTTTTTCTTAGGCACTGAAACAAGAGGAGCATCTGATAGCGTGTGTTTAGAATGTTCGTCGCCGTGGCCGAGGGGAATTAAATTGTCGGCTCTTTATCCGAAACAGAAATCAGAAGGAAACGTCAGATCGTCCCACGAGCAATTCTCGCTCTTCTACACAATCACACTCGCCATACGGACGAAGGAAATGGTGGTAATGGTTACTCGT